TGATTTTTTTGGCTTGGTTGTTTTTTTCTGCTAGGGTACCTTAAAACAAATCGTAGACATTGTATCAAATCACATTTAACTACTTCAGTGTGCATCTCTAAGAGGCTTTAAAAATATATAACCTGTCATATCACTCCTGTTTCCGTAAGTGGTCTCGAAAATAACTTTATAATTGGTTTGTTTGAATTGGATCAAAATTAGGTCCTCAGGTTACATGCTTGTTGATATACTCTTAAGTTTTTCTTTTAAAGTAATAGACTTTATTTTTTTAGAGCAGTTTTAGATTTACAGAAAAGTTGAGCAGAAGGTACAGAGAGTTCCCGTATACAGTCCCCCACGCCCACTACCCCTGTTGTGTCTAGATGGGGGTGATACTTTCAAGTCTCTTTTAATCTGCAAAACAGTTCCCAGTCTTTTTTTTTTTTAATTTATTTGTTGGCAAAACTGGGTCATTTGTTGTATAGGATGTTCTACATTCTGGATTTGCCCACGTTTAACGTGTTCCTTCGTTCTTAGTGTATTCTTGAGCATTGGATTTGGAAACTTGATTAGATTCAGATCTTATATTTTTGACAAGAAAACTTCCCAGGTGTTTCTGTGGACTTCCTGTTGCATCACGTGAGGCACCTGATATCCCCAGTTTTCATGTTGTGTAGATGGATTAGATCGAACCTGTCCTGGGACAGCTGTCCTGGAAACATCTTTTCTCTTTTCTGAGATCCTCCTCCCTCTCGGGAGTCTGCCTGGCTTCTGTGCTCCAGAGCCCTCCTTCTAGGCATCCTGATCCAGATCCCAAGGCCTCGCTAGGTAGGGACGAGAGGTACAGTTGATCTGACCCCAGGAAAGAGCTGTGGGTGACCATTGCCTGTCTCCAGGTTATATCCACTACCAGCCTGCCCAGGACCGGCTGCAGCCCCACCTCCTGGAGATGCTGATTCAGCTGCCAGCCAACTCGGTCACCAAGGTCTCCATCCAGTTTGAGCGGGCGCTGCTTAAGTGGACCGAGTACACCCCGGACCCCAACCATGGCTTCTATGTCAGGTGGGCACCCCATTTCCTGACCCATCCTCTCTGCCGCTTCCCTGCCTCACTGGAGGAGCTGGGAGGGACATGGCTCATGGAGCATCTGTCTGCTTCTCTGCAGCCCGTCTGTCCTTAGCGCCCTTGTGCCCAGTGTGGTGGCAGCCAAACCCATGGACTGGGAAGAGAGCCCTCTGTTCAACACCCTGTAAGTGTGACTTCAGCTGCCGGCTTTTGGAGACACTAACCCAGGCGGTCAGGTTCCTGCAGGATGGGTTGGGGCTAGATGTTGCCTCTTCCAAACTAATGTGTAGATTTAACTCAATCCTAATTAAAATCCTGGTGGTCTAGAGTATTTGCACAGTCATCATGAAATGATTCTGAAGTGCTTCTGGGAGAATCAGTAGGTGAGAGGAATAGTACTGTAGCCCACATATACTCACTGATTCTCTTAAGTATTTAACTGAGCACTTGTCGGGGGCCGCATACTTGAGAGCACCAAGTGTACAACCATGAACAAAACACACTTGCCCCGCCCTGCTCCTGCTCACAGCCTAGAGAGGAGATGCTGTGCTAGAGGGTTCGGCGGGGGGGTGCTGGGGAGTAATCTAGGTGAGGGGAGGTAATCCAGGAAGACTTCCTTGAGGAGATGGCCTTTAGGCTGAGACTAGAAGGCTAAAGAAGAGGCATCTAAGCGAAAGCAGAGTCCCTTTCCTCTCCCTCAGAGCAGTGTAGCTCTCCTTTGATCAGATTTATGTACTGTGGTTTAAAAGGCTTTGAGGCTAAGAAAGCTTTGAAAACCCCCACCGTTGTAATTGGCCCAGCGCAGCTGGAGAGAGGGGCTGGGGCTGAGATGGGGAGGAGCAGCCGGTCCTGCCTCACCGCCCCATCCTGACCCCCAGGTTCCCAGTCTCCGACAGCTCCAGCCATTTCGTGCGGCTCTACACAGAGCCGCTGCTGGTGAGCCTGCCGACGCCGGACTTCAGCATGCCGTACAACGTGATCTGCCTGACGTGCACGGTGGTGGCCGTGTGCTACGGCTCCTTCTACAATCTCCTCACGCGGACCTTCCACATCGAGGAGCCCAGCACGGGCGGCCTGGCCAAGAGGCTAGCTAACCTCATCCGGCGGGCTCGCGGCGTCCCCCCGCTCTGAGGCTCACCCCGCCCACAGCTGGGCGGCTGTTTCTCCCTGGAGAGGGGCAGTGATGGTGACCCTGAAGGCTCTTGCTGCCCCTTGCTCTCCCCAGAGGTGGCTTTTGAACCAAACTGCCCCCTGGATGAGACTAGGGCCTAGAGTAGCTGGCAGCCAGATGTGGCGTTTGAATGGAAATTAATTTAAATTGAAAATGCATTTCCTCCGCTGTACTAGCCCCATTTCAAGTGTTCAGTAACCGAAAGTAATTAGTGGCTTCTGTACTGGGCAGCGCGGAGAAATGTTTCCACTGTTGCGGAAGCTTCTGTGGGACAGCCCTGGCCTGGCTAGCAGGGTGTGCTGAAGACTTTGTCGCTGGCTGGTAGATGGAGTTTACGGGTTGTGGAATTAAAACGTGTCTGCCCCGTTGGTTCTTGGCCTCCTGTCCTTGAGGCCTATGGAGAGCTGGGGACTCGGGCTTGCTTGCTCGGTGCCTGAACAGGACCTCCTAACCCATCCACCCCACTCCTGCAAAAGAACCCCAACCAACCAACCAAATAAAACCTCCCTACATCCTCCCACTCCTGCCAGAAATTCCTTCTCATCTGCTTCCCTCCTCCCCCGCCATCCTCATCTGACTGTGCTTCTCAGAACTCACTGGGCTTGGCCGGGAGTGTTTATGTCAGCATCTCCATGACAGTGAATCATCCTGTGTCTTTTAGGAGCCCTGAGAACCAGTCCCCTAGCACCAAGGGTGGGGCTGGAGAGACAGAAGAGTTCCCGGTGATGGTTGTCTAACCAGGCTGTGCATTGGAATCATTTGGGGCTCTTGTGAAATAGTGTAGATTCCTGGAGTCCAGACCCTGTGAGTTCAGTTGGTCTGGGTGTTGCCTAGTCTTGCGTTTTTATCTGTCTCCTCGGGAGCTTGTGTGGTGGGTGGTCCAGGACCACCCACAGGCGTTGCCGGCTTTGGATGGGAGCCTGCCCCTGGGGCCCCTCTCCTGGTTATATGACCCCGGATTCCTGTAAAACAAGTCCTGAGGCAGATGTCTCCCCCACGTCATCTCTGTTGGCCTCTGACACATGTGGCATCAACTGTATGTTACTTGTGGTCCGTCCCTCCCTCCCTCCCTCCCCCAGTTCTCCCATCATAGTGGTTCGGTGGACTGTCCATCAAACAGAATGCCCTGTTCCACCAACCACACACCTGACTGCCAGGTTCACTCGGACTTATAAAACCAGAAGAGATGTTTTTTCCTCTAGGAAGTCTTCCCTGGTACACCAAGCTGCTGTGGGTGCCCCTCTCCTCCCTGGACTGAGCTTTCCTGTTTCTTACCAGCCTGGTTGTTACTGGAAAGCTCCTCTTGGAGCTTAACGATGAACAAACAAGTAAGACCCTCAGCACGATAGATGGTAGTTAGAGCTACAGAGGAAAACGAGACAGGCAAGTGGCGAGCTTGTAGCTGGAGTAGCAATTTAAAACTGGGGTGGCCAGGAAGACCTCATCGATAACTTGATCGTGGAGGTGGTGGAATGGAGTTGGAGTCTGGATTTATTCTGAAGGTAGAGCAAACAGATTTGCTAATAGGACACAATGGGAATGGGAGCAAAGGATTAAGGCTGAGCCCAAGGTTTCTGGCTGCGGAGCTGGGAAGACGAGAGTGGTCGTTAGCAGAGATGAGTGACTGGTTGAGCGTGTTAGGGGTTGGGGCGGAGATTATCCCAAGCTTGGTTTGGAGATGCTGAATTTGAGATGCCTTTAGACATCTAAGTGGAGATGGCAAGTAGGCAGCTGGGTAATGAACCTGGAGTTCAGGGAGGAGGTCTAGACCAGAGAGCTACAGGATGTTGTCTGTGCGTAGATCACACAGGACACGGTAGTGAAGGGCATTTCTAGGTACTCACTTGGCTGGGGCGTGAAAGACAGCCAGGCCACCACTTCGAGCTCTTCCGATTTGGCAGACACCCCATTCTACGCAGGCTGCCAAGATGACCTCACTTCAGATAATCCACCCACCTACGTTCTTATCTCACTTACCCCCTGCTTATTTACCGCTTGGAGGTAAACTCAAGTAAAAGCATTTTGACCCAATTGCTTTTGCCCACTGTCTAGGTGTAGACTAGCTCACCCACACCACCTCCCTTCCTGCAGACGCACACACATCACTTGTATGTTCCAGGGGCTCTTGGAGAACCTTCGGAGGTAACCTGCGCAGTCCCACCCATGTGGGCTGTACAGACAGGACCAGGACTGCTGTGTTAAACACCCTGCACTCACTGGTGGGGTTTCTAGAGAGCCCCTCGCCCTCGCCATCTCCACCTCCAGACCCTAGATCCCAAGCCAGAATAGCCCACACCCATTCATACATTTACTTTTGCTGACTGAGCACTTACAACTTGTCCGGAGCCAGTCAGGTCCAAATGGAGGACGGCCCCTGTGTCTCCGGGAAGCTCCAAGTCTAATGGAAGTTGAGCTCCGTAAGGGCCCAGATTTTTGCCTTTTGGAGCTGAGGCTTCTGGAACTGTGCTTGGCGTGTCATTAAGGCTGCCCTCACTCAATCTTTCAGCTCGACCTCTGGGTAATAGTTGAGAACTTGAAAGGGAGTGGGGTATAAAGGGAAAAGCATGCCCTTTCTCTCAAATATGTGTGTGTGTGTGTGTGTGTGTGTGTGTGTGTGTGTAAGTACACACACATATATTCATGTCTAATTCATGCACTTAATGCCACCAAATTGTACACATTGAAATGGCTAAAATGGGAAATTTCAGGTTGTATATATTATTACCACAATTAAAAAAGCATAAAATTCTCATTTTTCCAGTATCCCTCTGGGAGGAGAGGGGAGTGCCACCCTGGCTGACCAAGAGTCCCTGAATTTCCACCCATCTCCACACTCCTCCAGGACATGGCCCCTGCTGGACAGGAAGAACCTTCCAGCTCATCCTGGAGCCCCGAGCAGGAGAGAACAGCAGGCCAAGGTCTGGGGACAGACATGCAAGGTCCCCAAATTTCCATTCAGCCTGGCTTCCATGAGGACCCCCTGGTGATAGAGGACCTTGTGTCCTTTGTCCTTTATTTTGGGGACACAGGACAGTGAGGGCTTGAAGGAGGTAGGGGTAGGGTAACACTGGTTTGATTGCCCTGGTGGCCGTGAGCAATTTTGGGGGACAGGCCCAGGGCCCCTGTAGGAAGGCTTCAGGCCATGTCAACTTTGAATGCTTTATTGACCCAGTCCTGGAGGGTCCCAGGATGGGCTCAGAAGGGGGTTGTCTCGTAGGAGTGGCAGCTTTCCATCAAGGCCTGGGACTGTGCGCTGTCATCTTCAGCTGCTGTTCACTCGGGTCTCTGTGACAGAGAAAATAGTCAGATCCCTTCTTGGCTGGCCGCTTGGTGGCCTAGAGCCAGAGCCATCAAGCCGGGCTCCTTACCCAACCCCTCCAACATCCGCCACCCCGAGGGCTTCCTCATTTCCACCACCTCCCACGGTGACCGCTGCTACAGTCACATTCATCTTCTCTGTTGACATGATCACCCTCATGAAGGATGCTTTGCCGTCTTCACCTTTGCCAGCCCCACCACATATTTTAAAAGGGCTTACTCCAATAAGCAATGTTCCTTTCATCTTTACTATCCACACCACCACCAACCACAGCCCAGCTCTCCACGCCTCCAGCGCCCTCGTTACCGCCACCATCACCACCACCCCTCTCATTCCCGTTGTCTCAGCATCACCAACTCCTGTATTAACATCACCCTCGGCTTCACTACCACCATCCTCACCATCACCCTCTCCCCTCACACGTCCATCATCCTGTCATCTCCATTACTCTTCCTGTTTCTATCAGAGGACTCACCCGGGGGTGTGCAGACCCTCAGACAGATCTCCATGGTCTCGAAATTGTTGGCATTGCCCTGACAGCCACCATAGATGAAGCACTCACACTCCCTGGACGTCGAGTTGTAGGAGTACCGGCGCAGGAAGGCTTTGCAGGGGCCCCTCTCTGGGGGGAGCTGGCACAGGGCAGGGAGAGTCTGGGACGACTCCTGCGAAGCCTCTTGCCTGAGACTAGCTGCAAGGGTAAGGAGCATCGGTCACTTATGCGTCCTTTGTACAAACCAGTATCTCTTTTCTGAACACCTCTTCTACACCAAGCCCCCTCCTCCGTGTTTGCTATATGTGGCATTATTTAAACAACCTAACGGGAGGGTATTGCTGTCCTCATTCACAAATGAAAAAAACAGGCTCAGCTTTGGTAATTTTCCAAAAATCCTGAAACCTATTATATGTTAAAGCCTGGGATTTAAACCCAGATCCAATTTCAAATCCAAAGCTCTGTATTCTACAGCCTTTCATCACTTGATATCAAGATGTTAGTTGTACTTTGTTTATAATTGCAGAACATTATAATTTGGAAAAAAACATAAACATTCACCTACAGGGGATTGACTGGCTGTTACGCAGTCACTACAAATCACAGAGCTGATCTACAAGCATCAACATGGAGAGAAGCCCATACTTTTGTCAAATAAAAAAATCAGATTACAAAGTAGGAGCTCTAGTGTGGCCCCGGGGATGTAAAATATACATATAAATCCCCAGAGTGATGACATGAAGGTTGTTCCTCAATATATTTAGAGCAGTTCTCTCTGGGTAGTGGAATTTCAAGCAATGTTTATTTCCTAAAAATTCTTTTGCATATCATTTGAATGCCAATGACCAAGTGCCATTTTGCATAACTAGGAACAAGATATTTACATGAAATAGTTTATAGTATCCATGAGTAATCAGCAGATAAAGAAACTGGCCTCTTCTATGCGCACACACACACATACATCTCAACTATTAGCCTTGGACACTCAGGACCTCAGCGTATCTATTCACGGGCTGCAACAAACACCACTTTGATAATTACACTTCCCCTAAGAAGGACAGCATCCCTCAGACAAATGAGCACATGGGGCAACTCAGCTCTGTGGTACCATTTTGTGAACCCTCAATGTATATGACCCTGGCCAAGCTGAATATACTTGGGAGAAGCTTAACCTAGAATAGAGAAGAGGCCATTCTCGGAAGGAACTTCAAAGTCGTCTATTAGGGCAGCATTTCTCCATCTTGGTTAGAATATTAGAACCTCTTGGGGGAACTATTGAAAAAACCATCCCAGACATCATCCCAGACCAATTAAATCAGGATTTCTGAGTGTGGGAACCAGAGAGTCCTCAGGGGACTCCAGTGTGCAGCTAAACTTGAGAAATATGGCCTCATTTTGAAAGTGGTATGAACATCTCTTTCCTTGCTTAGGCATTCGAGGGAGTAGGATGCTGGAGAGTAAGACTGTGGAAACTGTGTAAAGTAGGGGACCCACTTTTCCACTTCACACATTTGCAGACTATCTTTTTAAGACAAAAGTGTATTGCTTTTTAATAAAAATTAAAATTTGGTGGAGATGTCAAATAGACACCTGGGAGGTCAGGCCCCAGATTTTCCCGAGACCAGATGGTGACCACAGGAGAGGCCCCTCCCAGAGCTGGGCCCTGGTCTCCCCCTGAGGTGGAAGTTACCAGATGGCCCGTAGGATCCAGCCCCCTCTCCCAACCACCCCACAGGCTGCAGGTTACAGGTCTCAGGGCTCCTTTCCCCAACCCCTCAGCTCACCTGAGGCCTTTCCTGAGCTGGCCGTGCCCAGCAGGCAGAGGGTGAGGCAAAGGGCAAGGAGGTGGCCGAACCTCATGGTGTGAGAAGCTGCGTGTTCTGGGCTGAGGCTGGGAGGCTGGAACTTATACCAGCAGCTGAAGGACAAGGGGCCCTCTTCCCCCAGGGCTGAGGGAAGTATCTCACTCCTCATTACTTGGAATAGGAAGCACCCTGGGCCAGGAATGTGGGCCCCGGAGGGCGTGGCCTTCTGACCTGGAGGCAGTGCCACCGGCCTTGGAGGGGGTCTTGCTGGCTATTGAGCAAGTCCCCTAAGACGGTGCTCCTGCCACATCTGGGATGCAGTTCCCAGCCTCATCTCCTGCAGACTTGAGTCCCTGTGACCTTGAACTGGTCAGTGACCTTGTGGGGCCTCCGTTTCCCTGTCTGTAAAACAAGTGGGCTGGACAACGTGGTCCCTTGGGGGCCAGCACGGCTGTTCCCCACTTCTGTTATTATTGGTTCCCATCCAGAGCCTCCCAGCTACTCGCCTCAACATCCCGGGAGAGAGAACACAGCTCTTTGTTCATCAGCTTATTTATTTAATTTTGGAATAACGGGTTTATTGTTTCATATAAATCATCATACTTAGTTTTAAAAGTTTAAGCTACACTGAAGAGTCTAAACAAAAGGCAAAAATCACACCCCCCGCGAATTCTACCATAGTGTTGTGCAACAGAAACATAATGCAAGCCCCAAATAGAATTTGCACTTTCCTAGTAGCTGCGTTTTAAAAAGAAAAAGGAGGCAAAATTAGTTTTCATAATAGTTTAACTCAATATATCCAAAATATTAGAATTTCAACATCAAATCAACATGTAATATAAAAGATTAATGCAATATTTAACTTTTCTTCATACAAAGTCTTTGAAATCTGAGTGTATTTTGCACTTATGGTACCTCCCAACCCAGACTAGCCACGTTTCCTGTGCTCAGTAGTCACATATTGGGGGGAGGGTATAGCTCAGTGGCAGAGTATGTGCTTAGCACGCACGTGGTCCTGGGTTCAATCCCCCGTAACTCATTTAAGTAAATAAATAAATACCTAATTACCTATCCCCCATCTCCAAAAAAATTAAAAAACAAAAAAGCTACATGTGGCTAGTGGCTACCATATTGGATGCTGAATTTCCACCACATGAAGTAAATATCTTTACTTCAGGTTATCCTCATAAACCTTTTGTTAGGTAGAGTAACAAAAATAATTCTACAAAAACAAAGGGTTCACAGGCACTATTTCCTCTGAATCTTTTCATATTGTATTACTACTTGAAGGACAATTTGATGGGATAAAAAATCTTAGATCAGATTTTCTTTTCCCAGAACAATTGTGGACCCGCTCCACTGAATTCTGCCATGGAGTACCCCCCTAGAGTGACCTGAATGTTTTTCATTAGGAGTGACTTTTTTCCTACCTGAATGCCTAAAGACCTCTTTGCTTATCCTTGAGATAATTTATATTTCGATATCATTCTGCATCACTGTTTGTACTGGAGCATGGAGTGCTTTTCCAATCTATCAGATCTTTTTAGGGAAATTTTCTTGTGTTACATCTTGAAATGCATTTTCTTTTCCAATTGTTGAGTTTTCTATATGAGACAGCAATTATTGTAGATTATTTTCACTTGCTCATCAGGAGTTGTTAGACTCACAACGAAGGAATTTAAATTCTAGCTTCGCCATTCACTATCTGTGCGACCTCAGACAAATTATTTAGCTTCCATGGATATAGTTTCTCTTTGGAGAGAACAATGGGAACTACTGGTGTTTGGAGTCCCCGAGTCCATGCTCAGATTTAATTCGTAAAACGACTCACAGGACTCAGAAGTTGATACACTTATGTTAATAGCAAATGGATACAGAGTAAAATCAAAAAGGGGAAAAATGCATGGAGTGAAGACAGGAACACAGGCCCAGGTGTTGCCAGCACATGGAAATTGAATCATCACGTCATCCCTGTGGGGGTGGGAAGGGACTCGTTTATTTTAGCAAACGAAGTCTGGTCATATGCTACCAGCCTGTGATCATTTCAGAGAAGCAAGGTGAAGGCAGAGAATTAGGAAGAGGGCAGGTTAATGGGAAAGAATTCAGGGTTTTCTGAGATTCGCTTCTTCCTGGACTTGGCTCCTCTGCCACTTCCCCAAGGTGCGTGGGAAAAGCAGCTTTTCTCTTTGCCTGCTCCTCCGCCCCAGTGAGGCATCCTCCAGGCTCGCTGTCAAAGTGTGGTTCTGGGGACCATCTTACAGGAGTGGAAACTGGGGCTGGGGATGCAGCTGTAACAGGGGGTCTATAAAAATGTAGATTCTCAGGCTTCACCCAGACCTGGGGAGTCAGAATATGTATTTATTCCCACAAGATCCACAGGCTGACGGAAGTTTGAGAAGTGCCATTACTGCGCATTTGGCCCCGGCAGCAGAAGCAGGAAGCCTGGTTAGGTGGGGAGTTAAGCAATAAACAGGACTGACCCCGGCTCCTCCCTTCCCTCCTCATCACCTGTTCCCACCCCTCAGCAGGGATGTGAAAAGCTCTGTCAGCCCCCAGCGCTGCTCAGAAGCCCTCCCGCAAGGCCGTGAAGATGAGCCGCCTCTGCCTCCCAGCAGCCCTCCTGGTCCTCCTGGGCACCCTGGTGCTCAGCGCCCAGCGGGGTGGAAGCCGCTCCCCTGCCCGAGGTAAGTCCCCGCTCCTGTCTCCTCTACAGGCTGGCGGGGAAGGAGGGCGAGTCCAGGGAAGGGGCTGGGAGCTGGAGAGGGGGGGACTGCCAAGCCTCTCTGGGTTTCTCCTGGGCAGTTGGGCAGTTTTAACTCCAGTGTATTTCGTGACTCTCAAAAGGAAATCATCATGTTTTCATCCTTAAAACAGATTATGCCACCTAACTCTACCAGATCAGGGACCTCATCTCTGAGACTCTCTGCTCCTGGTCTCTGCCTTGTCCTTGAACCTCACTGTAGTGTAATAGGAAGGTCAGTATTTGATCCTTGTTCTGGTTCCTGGTCCAGACCACTTGAAACCCTTGGAATTTACTGTCTTTTCTATGGTAATGAGGTGGCTCTGTAAGAAGTCAGTAGACAGCTTCAGGATGACACTGGTCTCCCGAAAAACCAATCAGGTGATTCTAGGGTTTGAACTTTCAACAACGACCCCCCCTCCCCCCTCCGCCACACACCCCTGCAGGGAGAGGGGCAGGTGATGAGACTGAGTTCAATCACTCTGCTGACCTACTGAAACCTCAATATAACCCCTAAACACTGGGGTTTCGGAGAGCTTTTTGGGTGGTGAGCACATCGAGGTGCTGAGGGGGTGTCTTGAGAAAGCAGAGAACTCTGAGTTTTGTCTTATATAATAAATGGGAACAGTATTTACTTACTTTACTATGCTTTCCTGAGTTCTGTGAGTTGTTTTAGTGAACTATTGAGTGTGGGAGGTGGGGTATGGAACCCCTGAATTCACAGCAAGTTGGTCAAAATGTCGGTGACCCTGGGGACTTCTGACGGGAGTTTGAGATGAGGGCAGTCCTGGGGGGCCTGAGCCCTCAGACTGTGCGGTCTGCGCTCACTCTTCCTCCCCTGCCCGTGGACACTCATGTGGCTCCTTCCCTCCCTCCACTCGGAATTACCTGCCTTCCCTGGCTGCTCCGTGCCCTGGACCCTCCGTGATTGTCTACCGAGTGGTGACCACTGTCTGAAATGTATCTTGCTCGTCGTCATTGACAGCTCCAATGTCAGGTCCAAGAGAGTGGGGAGCTGTGCGATGGTCACTGCTGTGACCCAGAGCCTAGGACAGTGCCTGGCACACACCGTGGGCACTCAAATATGCCATGGCTACAGAGTCCTTCCTGGGTGCAGGCACTATTCCCAAATCTTTATCTTTCCATGGAGTCACCCTCTCGGGCCTCACTAGTGTCCAAAGATGGAGGTGCTGTTATTAGCACTGCCTCATGCAGAGGAGTCAGGGCACGACAGAAGTGAAGTGACTTGGCCACACACTGTAGTAAGTTGGCAGTTGTAAAATTGGAAGCCATGGAGTCTGGTCTGAACTTTCCATCATCACATGTTCTGTCCCTAATCAACGTTTGCTGAACGAGTGACTGGATGACTCAGTGTAGACTCAGCATGTTCACCTGCATGTTCTACAGGCACCGTTGACTCAACTTTGACCAAACTGAATGCATCCCGCGTCCTGCAGGTGTGTCTCTCCTCCCTTCTCCCAGAAAGCTGACCACGTCCTTGCTTCTTCCTTTTCCTCACCCCACTGAGCAATCTCTTAGCAAAGCCTGTTGGCTGTCCCTCCTCACTGTCTCCCCTGCAGCCACTGCTGTCTGCTGAGTCCATTTCCCCTGGACAATCGTCATGACCCCACTGTCTCGGTCCCGCCTCTCCTTTCCATCCTCCACCAGGTTCTCCTAAGGTGTGCAGGTCCTTCCTCTGGCCTCAGATGAAGCCCCAAACTCTGAGCTTGTCTCACAAGGCTCCTCAGGTCTGGTGCCTGCTTGTTCACCCAGGACCATCTTGTCCCTTCTGCCCTCTCGTTCTCACACACCTTCTCCTCTTGTCTTCCTCTCCCATCTTGTGCTTTTCCATCTACTGAGGACACTCTCCCCACCTTGCTCTCAGTGACTCCTGCTCGCCCCTCAGTTTTCACTTCCTAGGGGCACCCCTCCATCCCGACTCCCACCACCCCCACACTTGTCCAGGTCCTCTGACAACTCTCCCATCGCACTCTTTGCACTAACAGATAGCACTTTTCTCATTAATCATTTATTTCGTGTCTCACAGAATTTTCTGCTAGGAAATGCACTACAGGAGAGCAGAGATCGTATCTGTCCTGAATATTTCAGATTCTCAGTAAATATATTGGTTGTTCACATTATCTGATGACTTATAAATTCACTTTCTACACACACATACAAAGTCTTAAAATGCAGGTACCACAGTTCAATTTTCCTGATTTCACAAGGGAGGGGCTGTGTGCAGGATCAGGGAGAGCACGCACTTCCTTCTTCTGCCACCAGGGGGCAGGCAGTGCCTTCCTTAAAGATTCCTGATGGCTAAGGAACAGGTGACTGATTCCAGAGACCCAGCAGAAACCCCCACCTCCCCAGGCCGACTTTAGAGAGACCAGAAGGTCAAATTAGGGGCAGGGTAGTATGGGCAACGGACTGGCCCTGGGTGAGACCTATCATGCAAGCAAGAGGGCTTTAGCTTAACACGGGGGAAGAAAGGGACCTAGTGGGACGAACAGACTTTAACCCTCCCTGGGTTCTGCAGCAACTTCCTGAGGACAGACTTCTAGAAGGTGACCCCACATAATATACTGTTTGTTCCTTTCTCTACTGGAATAAACAACACATTTGAAAAGCAGTCGAATAGAAAACAAACTTATGGTTACCGGAGGGGGGCAGAATGGAGGTGGAAGGGATAAATTGGGAGTTCGAGATCTGCAGATACTAACTACTATATACAAAACAGATAAACAACAAGTTTCTACTTTATAGCACAGGGAGCAATAGTCAATATCTTGTCATAAGCTATAATGAAAAACAATATGAAAACGAATGTATGTATGTGTATGACTGAAACATGCTGTCCACCAGAAACTGACACAACATTGTAAACTGACTATATTAAAAAAAAAGAATAGATGGTCAAAAGTCAATAAAAATAAAACTGATCATGAAAAGCAGTCAAGATACAAGAAAACTAAAAATATATGTGTTTTTAGACAATTTGCTGTGGTCTGGGTGTTCAAAGCTTTTTAGCACCATTATCAGTGTAGTCCTCGATAATATCCAGGTTCATGGATTTCTTAAGGCAGAAACTGTCACCCTATTTTACCAAGAAGGACAGAGACTGTGATCCAGAGAGGTGAAGAAATTTATCCAAGATCACACAGCAACATCCAGAATTACTGAAGCCAAACTCTTCTAATTAACACCAAGTCCTTTTCCATTACACTGTAATAAATTAACAATTAATACTAATAATTAAAATATATTTATTAATATATTATGATTACCATTATCAAAACTGCCATGCATTGAGGGGTTACTGTGCCAACACTTACACAAAGCATTTTACTAATAGCATATCATTTTAATTCTCACCATAATTCTATGAGAATGATAGGCAAAGAGAAAAGCAACTTCTGACTTCTGGGAACTGACCTGGTTCCACAGTGGGCCGTATGTTCTTCTGCTGAACATAAACATTTCATAAAACTTCAACATCAGACAAGGCTATTCCAGTCCATGATGGATCAAGACAGAAAATGGACACACCATAATCATGTCTGAATATGGACAAAACCAGCTAAAATCTACAAGCCACCAAAATGACCAAGCATCCCCCAATCCTGCCTCATGGGAGTGACTGAGCTTCTTTACCAAATACAGCTCTAATGCCTGTCTAGTCTTCCCTTCTTAGAGTTAAGATGCAGATGCCCAACCAGAGAACTGCCCCGTTTCCTGACAGCATCCATCCAGAGCAAAGCCAGCTTCCTGAAACCCTCCCCATAATCACCTAACACAAGCCCACTCCTGTAAGTCCTTTCTAACATCCTTGTAATGAGATGCCACGTGGTTCCCAGGGGGTGCGTTCGCCCTTGCTGCAGTGAGTAATAAACCAGACTGGTTCAACTAGGAACAGGAGTGTGTCTGCCGATCTATGGAGACACTGACAGGTACACACATTATCCTTATTTTATACATAAGGAAAGGGAAACGCAGAGAATTTGAGAGCTTTGCCCAAGACCACAAGGTAGAGGACAGAGCCAGCTCCACCTATTTTCTTGTTTATTTAAAGACCCTGCTGTGTGAGGTCTTCACCTCCAGTGCAGGGCACAAGCCCATTTCCTCCGCTCCTGTCTGGAAGGCGGAGGGTCAGTCGGGGACTGGAGCTCCGGTCCCAGAGGACACCCTCCTCCTGTCCTAAGTCCCCAGATCTCAGTCTTTGAGGGATTCTCAGTCTCTGGCCCTGAGTGTCACCTTACAGCCTTCAGAGAGCACCCCTCTGGGCATGGGGTCCCTACACCCCACACAGAAGTGACCTAACCCTTGGCCTCAGAGCCCCCAATCGTGAGGGGATCCCACATAGCTGAGCTTCCAGGAGCTTCCAGTGTCTAGGCAGAGGGTCCCCCCTCCTGCCACTGAGCCTCCACCTTCAGCACAGAGCCCCCCCACAAATGTCAGCCTTCAGGGGTCTCCCCACCTCCAGGACCCCACACCCGAAGAAGGTACAAGGGTCAAAAATTTTAGACACCAGGGATCCCAAAAGTTTACTCTTCATGGGTCTCCCCACTTCCACCCCCGAGAAATCCTCAATTCTTTGTCCCCAGAGCTAAGCCTCTGCCCTGCTCGGTCCTGGTGCTCCTGGCTCTGCCCCTCGGGGTGCCAACCTTTCCCTGCCCCGCTCACCTGTGACCTGGGCCGAGGCCCGGCAGCAGGCCAAGGAGGAGGCCAGCGGCTAGGGGACCAGGGAGGCAGGGAGGTAAGCTGCTTGTTTGGATGAGATGCTGGAGTGAGTGCTGCTCAGGTAGGGGTTTTAGCTGTTGGCCTTGGGGGCAGGTTGGGCCTGATTCAGCTTGAGAAGGGGGCTCAGCAGGAACATGGCGTGGGCTGCCACCTCCTGTATTTTCACAATCCCCCAGGATCAGGTGTCGCTCTGGCCCCAGGGGGAACCAGGAACCTAAGCTGCTTTCAGGCAGGGCCCTTGTCCACTCCTCCCACCCCACATCCCTCCTGGGGCCTGAGGACAGGGCTCAGCACAGAGCTCCTGGGTTCCCATTCCAAGATTCAGGGGTCCCCCGAGAAGGTCTTACCCCAGTCCTATGCAAAGCTGTAAAAACAAGTTTTCAATGCCAGGTCTCCATCTCTCCAAGCCTTTGTTTTTTCCACTCCATCCTAAATATCACCTGAGTGCCTTCTCCATGACACAGAGAGGGCACAGAGTTGGTGCCAAGAAAGAAATTAAAGGAGCCCTCAGCACTGGCCTTGGGGCGACAGGGTCTGGATTTGACTCCCATCTCCATCACCTCCCAGCTGAGGGACTTTGAATGAATCACTTCCCTTTTCTGACCTGCCATTTTGTCATCTACAAAGGTCTGTGAGCGGCCCATAAATGTCCACCGTTACTACGGAGACTGATCAGTATATACTGAACCCCTAAAATCCAGGCTGGCAAATGGCAAAATACAGTCATCCAGGGGAGAGTGTCCTCAAGCATCCTTCCTGCTCTAACTGTCTCAGGTGTGTGAGCTCCCGGAGATCTTTGCTGCTGGACATAGATAGAGGGAGTTGACTGCAGTGACCAGTGTGGTGACAGGTGAGTAGGACTCGGTGACAGCAGGACATGCAGCGAGTGTCTCCACAGATGTGTCCTGGGGGAAATATGGCACCTGATGCCCCAAGAAAGTGGGCCCCCCATACAAGGGGTAGAAAAATTGAGGCTGCTTAACTAGCTACCTTCTATGAAATTCTACCATTTATTTAATCAGAACCCTTCTCCAAATTTTTTCCAACTCCTAATTCCTCCATGATTCAAATAGCCAAACACCTATGTCTTTCAGCTCTGATGGGTCTGTTCCTTAGAGATGGTGAAGGAGGCTCCCTGACTCCCCTCAGGAGCTGGGACTGGCAGGAGGGAGCAGGACACTCAGGCTCTGGGGCCAGGCTTCTTGGGACTCCAAGGTACTTCCCCCATCCCTCCTGGTAACTAATTTTCCCAAATTCTGTACCCAAGGGGCACCCAGGTTCATCTGTATACAGGGTTGGGTGGACTTTGAGGGACAAGTTGGGGTCTCCTCATGATGCTCAAATAGCTAATTGGAGACAATACAGACTCTGACCTGGGAAATGGGTGGAAGTGGGACCCCTGTTCTCATCGCCACCTCTTTGTCCTGCCCCCAAAGCTCCTGTTTCCCCTCCTTTCTCTCCCTGATAGAATCCAACTCACCCTTCCGCACTCAGCTCACACGCTGCCTCTTCTGGGCAGCTGGACTTGACCTCCTCCGCTGAGAGTCAGGACCTCCACCTCGGCTCCCACACCAGCTACATGACACCCTCGTGCTTCCATTTCCTCCCTCAAACGATTCTCAGGAGATTCAATGAAATCACACAGGCAGATTGCTAAACACAGAGGCTGGCACGTAGCAGGTGCCCCCTAAATGGGTGGTTGATCTTCCTTAACTGGTTTAGGAAGCCCCCTGCCACGCCCACAGGATCTCAGGCCAGAGGTTCCTTGGGCAAGTGGACAAAGGAGCCTCATGCTCCTTCCCTCTCCTTCTGAGAGTCCAGAAAAACCACCTGCCCCCAAACTTGACCTGGTCCCCAAAGTAAAGAACAAAAGCATTTATGCTGCTACAGGTTTTCCTGTAGGTTGGGGGAGCCACAAAGAGGTAGCTGGCGCTGTAAAGTGTTTGCTTCCTATACTTGGTAGGGCTTAGTCTGAAGGCAGGAGAAGGGGAGGTCCTGGCTGCTCTGCAGAAGAATGAAAAGTAACTCCATCTCCATGGACCCTATTAGCTAAGGTTCTTAGCTGCAAACAACAGAATCCACTCCACTCAGTTTAATGAGAAATATGTTTATTTAAATATAAAGCAAGACTGTTTGAAGCAAAAGAAAGGAAAATACGTGACGTCACTGTTGGGGAAAGAAGCTTCCTTAGTGAGAAGACCTCTGCCACGAGTGATGCTGAGAAACGGATGCCAGAAGCTTCACCCTGGCCAGCCACAAGGAGAGCCTTTAGGGTGGGCGGGGGGATGAGGTTGCGGATGCAGTGAGAACGAGGGGTAGGCACAAGCGTCTTGGTTTCAAGTCCCAAGCTCTGTGGTCCCTTGAGTGGTGAGGAGCTGTGCTCCTGTCTTCATCCTTCACTTCTTCAAACATTTATGGATGGTCTCCTCTGTGCCAGGAACTGGGCTAAGTGTTCGGGATAAAAGGATGATTTGCTCTCATGGTGCTGAGAACCTACTGGATGAGACAGAGCTAAAGGAAGTAGGCCCTTGGTGGGAAGGGAAGGGGCAGGGCTCTGCTGAGGAGGGAGGGGTTGAGAAGGGAGCAGAGGAAGATTAACTGTTTCAGATGCAGCCACAGCCCACCCCTGGTCGGCCTCCTCGGACTTCAGCACCACAGGGGAAGACACATCTTCTGCAAAAAGAAAAGAATTTGCTGATTGACATCTCTGAAGCCCCAGTCCTTGGCACTATACATCCTGACACATCCTAGACCTTCCCAGTAGTGAGCAACCACAGTCCTCCCAGGACTGGGATGACCAACAAGAAGGAAGTGAGTTCCCAAGCCTAGGTGGGGCGTTCAGAAGCACTGCAAACCTGCCCTGGAAGATGGCTGCCTCAGTGTTCCTGTCTGAGAAAGGGGAGCACGTGAGGAGGCTCAGATTCTGATGATGGGGTTTCTAGCAGTGACCTTCTGCCAGGCTGGCCTGTGGGGGATGTACTCTGTGTGGTTTCACAGGACACTGCTGCCACTTCTCTTGGGAGGCATCAAGGAGGAAGGTCCCTGTGCAAGTGTGAGGGGTGTGGGGCCCCCAAGCACCACCTCTTTCCCCAGCCCTTCCCCACCTACCCTGCCCTGCCCCCTGTCTTACCTCAGAGGCATCACAGCACCACCGCAGGTCCTCATGCAGTCATATTCACTCAGGAAGTTGTTCCTCCTCGCATCACAGCCGCCATATATGAAGGTCTGGCAGAGCCTGGTCATGGGGTTGTAGAAGTACCTGATTTTCCGGGCCTTGCAGGGACCCGTGTACGGAAGCTCCAAGCAGAACGCAGGCTGCAGGCCTGCAGGGGTGCAACGGGCTCTGGGTCAGTTACAAGGATGGTCATCACAAGGTCAACAAATGCAATTACCAACTTTGGGGGGTTTTTGGCCATAGGGAACGAATGATGGGAGTGAGGGGAACAGTCAAATTGAAAAGGCCATTTTACAGCCTCCTTTCTGGGACATTATTATTCATGTCTCTAGGTGTGACAATGATACAGTAATCAGGTAAAAATTTAAATATCCTTTAAGAAGTATTTATGGATTAATTGGTATGTTGCCTTTGATTAGCTCCAAAAAACTCTAGCAAAGAAAAGGAGGGTGCAGGTGAAAACACATTCACTGTATGCTGATCATTATTGAAGCTGCATGAGGGATCCGTGGGTTTTATACTATTCTCTGCACTTATGTGTATGGTAGGAAATTTCTACTGTTAATAAATAATGTGAAGGAATCATGCTGGAACTAAGAAAGGCGTGAAGGAAACATACCAGTGTGTTCACTTTGGTTACCTCATGAGGACAGTATAAATTGAATATGGACACCATAATGTTATTGTGGTTTATAATAAGAAATATATATTTGTTCTTCACCCTATTCCTGGCACTAAGATCCTTAAAACCTTGGTGTTTCTTAAGTGCTGAGAGCAATAAAGAAAGGTATTTTTCGTTATGTGAAGTAGGTGAGTTTCATACAGCCCCTAGCAACCCAAGAACGGGAGCTGGTTACCAGGGAAAGCCACTGCCAGATGAGAGGGTTGGCACTTTCATTCCCACCCTCCCTGGGGCCTTCCACCCGCTTCCTTCCGCAACCTCAGGGAGGGGAGAGGGGCTGGAGGTTGAACAATCGTCAATGGCTAATGATTTAATGAATCATGACTAGATAGTGAAGCGTCCATAGAAACCTCAATAGAGCCAGTCATTCATGTTACTCAGAAGAACTGGGATGGACCCAGGGAACAGCATAGGCACACACTGCATCACTGCTCACCTGGGCCGCAGCAGTAGCCGGCTCCCTGGGCCTCTGTCTCTGCCCTTGACTCCCCCCTAGCGGCCATTCTCCACACTGCAGCTGCAGGGATCCTGTTACAGCTGGAGTCCTATCCCACTGCTCCTCTGCCCAAAGCCTCAGTGACTCCCCATCTTCCTGAGTCAAATTCTGATTCTTAGAAAGTCCAACAAGGCTCCTCCGGACCTACCCCCTTGGCCTCTCTGTCTCATAACCTTCCTCTCCCCTGCCCTCCCACCACTCAGCTCCAGAATGTGGCCCCCTGGTTGCTGCTCAAACACACCAGGCACGTTCTTCCTGCAGCCTCTGCTCAACACCTCCTTATCACCGAGGGTTTCCCTGACCATCTACAGAAAGAGCAGAGCCCCCTTTATCCCCATCACTCTCTACTTTCAAAAAACTCACGATGACCTGGCCAGTATGTCCCCCTTTTCCTAACGCCTGTCTCCCTCTTAGAAGTCAGGTTATTTTGCTGTATTTTGTTCACAGCTGTTTCCCACACCAAGAACAAGTGCTTTGTAAGGACTTAATAAATATTTGTCAGGGGGATGAATCTCCTATTTCTTGCTCACACAAGGTGCACAGACATTGAATAGAGTGGATATAATTGAATTCCTGTTAGTGAAAAGTCTACTTGATAGTGTATTTATCAGTCTACCTCTAACATTCTATATCCTAATAATAATAGTCAAAGAAGGGACAAGGGGAAGGGCCTTGAGACTTGACTAATATTCACCAGCCTGGGAAAAAAACAGCCTTGGCCCCACAAGCAAACTCACAGAAGCACTGCATTTTCTGCCCTCCCTGCAGTTACTCTGCTCAGCTGTCCCACGTCTTTCTGATTAATTTTAATAATGGAGGAATCATCATTCTTTGACACCTAAATATTTTTTTCTTGGGCAAAGGCGGTAGGTAGAAATTTTTTTTTCAGAATTTAACACATCTTGGTGGAAAATGGACAAAATTGGCCACGAAATGTGATTAAATTCAGGATTGGTAATCTTTTCAAAGACCCCACGCGAACATGTTGCCTCTGCTCAGGTGAAGGAACCCGCAGATGACCTGCCCCATGTCACGCCGTGTGTGTAGTAGGGTCAGGACAAGGTATTATGTCACAATCCATTTGATAAATTACCTGATTCTACCAGTTATTCTTAAAATGCAAATAACTGGCAAGAGTTTCTGGGAACAGTGTCCCACATTGTCCCCTGTCCCCAGGCCTCACCCAACCCACCAAATCATAGGGAAGAGTGAGTCTGGGTTCTTCCCTGACAAGATATATATGGTGGCTCTACCAGCACCAACCAGTTCTCCAGACCAGCTGGGCGTCCTGCTAGTCAGTTCACTTCTGATTCTAAATCCATGGAGTTAGTGGGGATGCCACAGGCTGAGGGCTCAATTCTGCCCTCAGTTCAAACCCCAGCTACGTGGTCCAGAGTCACTCATGCTTGTGGCCAGTTGGCTAGAAATGGGAGGTGCCATGACCCCACCACCATGTTGAATAATTCAATAGAACATGTGGCAGAACTCAGGAAACCGCTTACTTACTCTTCCCACTTTATTATAAAGGATAAAACTCAGGGACAGCCAAACAGAGAAGATGTGTATGGCAGGGGAGTGCTGAGGGGTGGGGAGCCCCCATGCCCTAGCGGAGCACACGCCCTCACAGCACCTCCATGTGTTCACTGCCCCGAAAGCTCTCTGAACCACAATATTAATGGATTTTTATTGAAGTTTCACTGAATAGGCAAACTAATAGAAGCACTGGCCATTAGTGATTGATCTCAATCTCAGTACCCTCCCCTCTCCCCAGAGGTGCGGGGTTGGGGGGGTTGGGGGGCTGGGGAGTGAGGAATTGAAAGCTCTAAGCCTCTAGGTATGGAGAAAACACAACACTTCTACACTGCTGGTGGAAATGTAGTTTGGTGCAGCCACTATGGAAAACAGTATGGAGATTCCTTAAAAAACTAAAAATAGATTTACCATATGATCCAGCAACCCCACTCCTAGGAGTATACCCAGAGGCAGAGACCAGGAGCAGAGAGTCTCAGAGATGAGGTCCCTGATCTGATAGAGTTAGGTGGGATAATTTGTTTTAAGGATGAAAATATGATTTCCTTTTGAGAGTCATGAAATGTCTCTGCAGTTAAAACTGCCCAACTGCCCAGAAGAAACCCAGAGAGGCTTGGCAGTCCCCCACCCCAGCTCCCAGCCCCTTCCCTGGACTCGCCCTCCTTCCCCGCCAGCCTGTAGAGGAGACAGGAGCGGGGACTTACCTCGGGCAGGGGAGCGGCTTCCACCCCGCTGGGCGCTGAGCACCAGGGTGCCCAGGAGGACCAGGAGGGCTGCAGGGAGGCAGAGGCGGCTCATCTTCATGGCCTTGTGGGAGGGCTTCTGAGGAGCTCGGGGCTGACAGAGCTTTTCACATCCCTGCTGAGGGGTGGGAACAGGCGATGAGGAGGAAGGGAGGAGCCGGGGTCAGTCCTATTTATTGCTTAACTCCCCACCTAACCAGGCTTCCTGCTTCTGCTGCTGGGGCCAAATGCGCAGTAATGGCACTTCTCAAACTTCTCTCTTCCTGTGGATCTTGTGGGAATACAGGTTTTGAGTCCACAAGTGGAATCTTTGTCTGATTGCTTCACTCCGAGAGCATCCCAGTACCAGGAGCAGTCCACGGCACCTGGTAGATTCTCAGGGGAAATCTGTTGAGTGGATGAGAGTAAATCAATGGACAGATAAGGGAACAGCAGTGTGGTCTCTCAGGTCCTCCTTTTCAACCTCCTGCAAGTGTCATCATATCTGGCATCAATGCACTTCACATCCCCCCCCCCCATCCCTGAACACACATGTGACACAGGACACCTTCCTGCAACCAATGAGGCTGCATTGAAACTGGCTGGACAAGAGCTCTGTACCAGGTACTGGTCCAGGCAGAAACTGAGCTGGGGGTAAGCGATGTCCACCTGGGGCACAAACTGTGCTTTTCTGGGTAGAAAAAGGAGTAAGGCGCATGGGCAGAAGGGAAGCAGGGAGATGAACACATCACACGACAACCTCCCACCTCCTCCCCACCTGGCTTCACAAGCAGGAGAGCTGCATGTCTGAGTAGGTCTCAGAGGGTTGGACTGGATCTCAGGGGAGCTTGGAAGATCACCTGCAACCCCTGCCCCTACTGTTCTCTCCACCAGTGGTATTGGGATCATAGGACCTCAGTTTGGGCACCAATTCTGCCTTTTTTTAACCTGTTCCCCTGGACTTAAACCCCCCAGAGACCCAGTGTCTTCAGATGTCACATGAGATCAGTGCTGCCCTATCACAAGGTTGTTGCGAAAGCAATGGAGGCAACATACACGTAGGTCTTCTCCCTCCGAAGTCCAAGTCCTCTGTAATAACAATAGTAGCGAATAATTACAGCCGTTAACACTTAGCTCCTTCTATGTGCCAGACATTATCCTAAGCTCTTAGAATGTATTAACTCATCCAGTCTTTACAGTTACCCTAAAAGCAAGGGGAAAGAACCGTTACCATTACCTCATGTTGCAGAGGAGGAAACTGAAGCCTGAGAGATGAAGCAATTTATCTAAGATCATTACAGGGTAGAGAGAGGCTTTGAACCCAGGAATCTGGCTTCAGGTCCGTGCACCATGAACTCTGCTGCTTCGTATACTGTAAAGTGCAGTGCATGTGTGAGGAGTTCCACATCCACAATCTCTTCACTCACTCCTGTATACTCACTCCCAGTTACAACCACGTAGCACCAAGACCCTGCATCACTCATCCACCCGCAGACAAGCATCCTTCTGTAACACACACACACACACACAGCTCACACTGCAGAGATGTGCCAATTACAATGCTCTTTGTGTAAATCCATAACTCCTTTAATCTCCACATCAAATCTCTCAGGGGATGTTTCTATCCCAGTCCTACCACAGAGGAGGAAAATGAGGCCCAGAGAGGTGAAGGCATCACTGAACATCACACTGCTGATCAGGAGTAAAACCAAGACCTGAGCCCAGCCTTCCAATGTCTACATCTACACACACACACACACACACACACACATCCCCCACACACAGACTATGTTCCACTTTCTGGGCCAATGAGAAGAGAGCTGGGCTCCATCCCCAGAAACCCTGGGAGCAAGCCCAACCAAATGAAAAACAGGCACAGAACTGGGTGATGAGCTGCAGTGGACATGGGTGGTACCCTCCTGGCACACAGACATCGTGTCCCTTGAGAAGGGCAGGAGCGCTCAATGCTGAGCTGCCCCAGGACAGCAGGGCATCGGGGGCAGGTTACTGACAAAACAAGCCGCTGTGTATGGAGGGTCTTCTCTCTCCTAAGACATTTCACGTGTGTGATTTCATTCAGCCTCGTGTCAATCCTACCACATTCTATCCCATTTTGCCAGAGAGAAAGCAGAGGCTCAGAGAGGTAAAGCGACTTGCTCAGGACCCACAGCTAGGATTCGAGTTCAGGAGGCCACCTGGCCCTGGCCCTCTTCCTGCCTCAGTCTGTCCATCTGAGACCAGGGAACATCAGAGACTCCCCGGAAGAGCAGAGACTCCTCTCTCTCCCTCCTCCTCTCTCATCTGTCTGTCTGCCTCCTGCTTTCCCTCCCAGCGTCCACCTCTGCTTCTGGTCCTCCTCCGTCTGGTCCAGGTTAGAGGCCTCCAGACCCAGAAGCTGCCCCTGATGGGCCCATCCTCCCTCCATCCCCACCTCCTTACTTGTTAGTGTCTCAGGTCTCTTTCACCCTCTGAGATCTCCAGCAATGCCCTCACCTTCTCTGAGCCTCAGATTCCTCCTATGTAAATGGGAGGATGACGCCCTGTCTGTGCACACCGTTGAAGGTCTGTTTGTGCTCACAGCTGTAAATCACTAGTAAATTGACTAGACCACATGGCCAGTAAGTGGGCAGAGCCAGAGTCTGAAGCCATAGAGTCTGATCAAAGATCATCACATATTTTACCCCTAATAAACGTTTCACGAACAAGTGAATGAATGGATCAGTGTCTACTCAACACCTTTGCCGAAGTGTTCTTCAGGTACCATGGACTCAACATTGACCAAAATGAATTCATTGTCCTTCCCGCCAAAGACTTGCTTCTCCTCCCTTCCCCCAGAAAGCTGACTGTCATCCTAATCTCCATGAGCAATCTCTTAGCAAAGTCTGTTGGATGTACTTCCTCAGTTCTCAGCTGAAAGTTCACTTCAGAGTTAGATTAAGGCACCCCCAATGGTAGAATGTCCCCTCTTCCTGACAGCATCCATCTAGAGCAAAGCCAGCTTCCTGAAACCATCCCCCAAAGAACCCAACAGAAGCCCACATCCTGTAAGTCCTCCCTAACAGCCTCTTAATGAGATGCTGTATCATTTCCCAAGCTGACTGTTGTCCTTTGCTGCAGTGAATAATAAACCCAACTCATTCAACTTGGAAGGGGTCTGTTTCCAGAGGTCTGTGTTTGAAAACATTGACAGGTAAAAGCATTCTCCTTATTTCATAATTAAAGAATGTAAAAATCAGCGAGGTTGAGATGTTGGCTCAAGGCTGCAAGGCATTGGGTAACAGAACCAGCCCCATCTGTGTTCTGGCTTATTACACTACCTCTGCTTTTTGAGGTTTCTGTGCCTCCATTTCCTCATCTGGAGTAAAACAGTTAAGCTTTGCTCTCCAAAGTTTCCTCCAGCTCACTTTTTCCCAGAGACAAGAGCATGAAAATGTTGTCAACTCATTCCCACAATGCCTTGCAGCTAGGAAGGTCTAAACGTGAACTTAAAGTGTAGTGCATCCTGGGATATGTTCAACGAGTTTTGGATTCCTGCCCATCATCCACCTCTTACCCACTCCTCTCAGCCATCCCCATTCTGTTGCATAAATTTCCACATTATCTGATTGCCACAGCTCTTTCCCAACAAGGGCAAGCAAGTTGGGAGGGTAACTTGGGAGCGCTGACCCTACTGACCATCCTCCTCTTCTTACACTAAATTCTTGCTGCCAACCCAGTGAAGGGGCACCTAGTGAGGGTGCCAACAGTTCTGGAAGCTTCAGCATAAAATGTAGAAAGCAGTAAATGAGGGATGCCCCCAATTTTCAGTTTTGAGAATCCGAAGCTGGTGGTGGGAACTCAGTAAATGTTTTCCAAGAGCCTAAAAGATGTTTGGTGGGAGGGGTGGGGATCCTTCCTTGATTCCCATCCCCCAGGGCCTGTAGGACTTTCTTAGGACAAAGACAGAAGAATTGATCAATAGGTTTCAGGACCAATGTGGAAAGGCAGGGCCAGAGGGGAGGGGGGCCCTTACTGGTTCAATGGAACAGAAGAGTGTTCTGTTGATGAATGCTGCCAGCTGGAACTTGATGCTCAAGAGAAAGTGAGCTTCCCTTAGGAGGAGGTGTGAAAACTGAGGCTGGAAGAATCTATAGGAAAGGGAAAATCACAATAAGAAAAGCAAATATATAGAAGAGTTGAAGATCATTTAAATAAGTGAGTACATAGATTAAAAGACAATAAAAATTGTAAAAGGGATCGTAACACAATAAACAGTAAAAGGGTCAGCATGAAGATGTCAACTAGGACAGCAAAATCACAAAATGTAGGGGATGGGAGTACAAAAACTTAGATCTTTTAGAATGTGTCTGAACTTGAATGATGTTCAGTTTAAAGCAAGTAGGTGTAGTTATGGGCCAACTTACTTGAACTCCTTGGTTACCACAAATCAAAAACATACAATAGAGTCATAAAAACTAAAAAGAAAGGAACTCAAGCGTACTAAAAGAAAATTATCAAACCACAAAAGGAAACACAAAAAGAAGAAATGAACAAAGAAGAACTATAAAAGCACTGAAAAACAAGGATTAAAATGACAGAGCCTATCAAAATACACAAGAAATTTTTCACATATCTAGAACAAATAATCCTAAAATTTATATGGAACCACAAAAAGACTGAGAATTGTTAAAGTAATCCTGAGCAGGGGTGGAGGAAAAAAAGCTTGAGGCATAACCCGTCCAGACTTCAGACTATACTATAAAGCTGTAGTAATCAAAACAGTGTGGTATTGGCCCATAAACAGACTTATAGATCAATGGAACAGAATAGAAAACCCAGAAATAAACCCACACACTCCTAGTCAATCTACAACAAAGGAGGCAAGAATATGCAATGAAGATAGTCTCTTCAAGCAAGGGTTAGAAAAAGTCTTAGTGGCCAAATGAGGAAATCTCACCTAGTAATATTATTAGGGGCCTGAACAAAATTCTGCTCTCTTTCCTCTAGAATAAATTTCTTAAAGACCTACTGATTAGATCCTTAGAGTGGAGAACATCCAAGGTAACCCCAAAGTAGAGGAGCTCGGTAGTTGACCATAAACCTAACAACTGGATTAACTTTAGCTCTACATAAGA